TTTCTGTCATTTTATTCACATTCTCCTCAAGAGCCTGGATGACCTTGCCTCTCATTCTCAGCCTAGAGTCCAAGTTTGCAAGTACTGTTGGCATCCTCATTTGCTGCTGATGTACTAGGAAGGATATCTGGCAAGTCAGGCTCTTGAGAGTCCCCACTTCTGGTGTTTTCTGTAGCCCCTTGGTCATACACATCAGAAGGAAGATCAGAAAGTGGATTGCCAATTCACCATCTGGGGTGTGGCCCAAAGAGAATGTGATATGGAATGTTCTTAATTGGTGACACCCATTCAGTGTTCATGAAGGCTGGTGTGGAGCAATGCATATAATTGTACAGGAGCACATTGCTGAGCAAAAACTGCTGAAAGTTTCACAAAAATTGCATTCTGGGAAGCAACTTCATCCAATGCAAGTTGCTTCCCTGTTCCATGGAATGTTGGAGCTTTCTTTTCATCACTCCATTTCCATTCTCTGCACAACCCTTTGACATGGGGTGTCTTGGTCGGGAAAGTATGTGTTTGACACCCCATTTGTTGAGCAGATCTTGGAAAGACTGTGAACATGGATCATCAATTTAAATCTATTGCAACAACCGGGAAACTCAATGGTTGGGAAAAGATTAAGTTTGCCCAAATTATATACTGCCTGGGAAAAAAATGTATATTTGGTACATGAAATTAAAACTGTTCTTCCCACAGATCTTTTAGAAAAGCCCCTTTAAGTGTGAGGTCAGGATGAAATTTTCCCCATGTGCACCTATTTGTACGCTGAACCAGGGCATGAAGGGAAGGATATATTTCATACGTAGGAGACCCTATACAGCCTTCACCTACTTACTCTTTCGTTCAGAAATCTTGCATGGAGAATTTTTTCCCCATGTGCACCTATTTGTACGCTGAACCAGGGCATGAAGGGAAGGATATATTTCATACGTAGGAGACCCTATACAGCCTTCACCTACTTACTCTTTCGTTCAGAAATCTTGCATAGAGAATTTCCGCATGTGTGTTTCCCCAAGAAATTCTCAATACATACGTGAGTTATGATACGTAGCACGGTATTTCCTCGTATTTTACTTCCGTCTCAGGGTGTTGTCTCGCATCACACCTCGTAATGTGCTAATTTGACGCGAGACGCATTTCTTGAAAATCAGGATTAGCCTGGTTCCGGAACTCCGTCCCATTGTCTGTTTCCAGCTTAAAGGGCGGACCGTAATAGCTAAACGCCAGTCTCTCTACATTTTCTGCAACTTCTTCCCTTCAAAACAAAGTCCCCTCGCTCCTGGAAGCTGATCATCAGGGACATCTGTATTAACATGAGAGGTAGACGCAGGTAAAACTAATCTAGTTTGACTTAAGCTCTTTTAAGACATTTAATCTGGGTACGGCAAGAGGTTGCCCAAACCACTTGAGATTTTTTAAAAATTCAATCGAAAGTCCCCTGGAATGGATCGGCTTCAGAGGCGCGGTTATCCTCTGCGACGCGACCTTCGAACAATGGGGACACGTTGCTGTGAAAAACCTGACTAGAGGTTCAGTAATCTCGCCGTAAACGCGCTTGAGTTCTTGTAGAGTTATGCGATATCCGGCACCAAGGAATGTAGAATGAGAATTCTGGATTATCTCATAAAGTCTTCCTTTGCTGCTCGGACACCGTCTGAGCCCTCATCTTAATCAGCCTGAATAACCCGTGGATAACATGGATTATTCGTGGACGAGTACGAGGGAAAACAGGAAATTCTCTGTGGAAGACGAGTTATACATGCAATCGTGAATATGCAGTATGTGAAGGAGGGCTCTTAGGACCATGCCATGCAGCACCCACACTTGGCTTATGCATCGCATCCTACAATGTACTCGCAAATATGCATACCATAATGAAGTGCACCAAACAAGAGATGCGCTTCTTGGTCTGTCTACGGGTGAAATTTACCTCACGATACTGAAAGCGTTTTGTGACAATTTCACAATTTAACGGAGCGTAAACGAGCGGGTAGCGAAGTTCAAAGGATGCGAAATAGAACTTCAGAAATTGGCCTATGCAGTCTTACACGCCCCATTACGTTAAGACATGCAACTGTCGCCGATCTCTATTCGTTGTGAATTTCCCAACAGAATACAAAAAGAATTTCGGTGTGACCAAAAATCGAATCCCTCGGAGCATATCTATCATAGTTCCGTGCACTTCACAATGTCAAACATTTTCGAGGCGGCGTTCTCATAATTCGAAGCATCTCCCTCGGCCGGCTGCTGTGTGACATGAGGCTAATAGGTTCATTGTTCATGCCACGGAGCATGTGGAGTGGAGGTGGGCGTATTCATAAGATTAAACTCACGCCCTCTGCAGTACAAAAAAAATAATTTCCTTGCTTCCTCTGCTCATGTCAATTTTCTTGATTGATGTTTGATTAAGTTTTTCCGCGATTTTTAAAGCATTTTGAGTAGAAAGGTGGATGGACCCTTAAGGTACAACGAGAAAATCTCATTTCTTCCGCCTGTCAAGTTTACAAGAGAAACATTTGTATCATTATTAAAGAGTATGAATAAAGCTCCCTCATTCTTGATTGATCCAGCCCTTCTCGAGTCCCTCTTTGCCCTTCGAAATGCAAACATGAAGCGACACTACGTGGTTGATTTTATGACCGTGGGATCATGAAATCATAGTTTTAACATTGGTAGGAGACGTTTGAATATAGAATGAAATTAGTGAGCGGAAATTGAATAGCAATGTGAGTAGTTATGGTTGATGGTTTCTGCTCAAGCTGACCAAAAGAATAAGCTTTCGCATATATTTAGCGGGAATCCAATGTTGGGCATAATTGGTAGAAGGGGTTAGGACTCGGAGAAAGCTGCTGCTGAGGCTGGACGATCAAGCGTATTTCCTGGATTATAACCGAGAAAACAGTTCGGGTTAACAGTAAGTAGGTAATTTCATCGACTACTAGTCGGTAGCCTAGACTAGAGGGAGCGATCACGTCTTCGGTTAACTCTCCTCATTCTCTGTTTGCGGACGGTTGCCCAGAGTGCGGAGAGTCGACTGGGCTACTCTCCGCACTGGGGACGGTTGACTGTCCGCGCCGGGTGACTCAGCGGAACAGGCCTATGCCTATCTCCCCCAACCAAGATATAAATTTAGCTGATTGCCAACAGCTCAACTTTCAGGAGCAAAGTAAGTACTCCCAGGCATTCACACTCTTTCGACCTGTAATTTTGGAACGGCGCTATACATGAAGTTACAGAACGAGGCCGTGAAGGCTGCAACTCTTAGTGGTCCCAGAAACTTCTCTGTTATGGCTCATTACAATGACCTGCAAATGTATTATTTTGCTTTTAGCTAGGACTCCAATAAACGATCAATGTCGATTCTTTCAATGTGATCACTTCAACCTCCTCGCATGTACCATACAAGCAACCAACACAATATGAAAGGTAGTACGAATTCACTTGCGAATCACTGCACTCGACGCAAAAATCCACATCTTTTGGATTCAGATTGAACACCCAGCGGAAGCAGTTCAAGCACATTTTATAATAAAAAGGCCGAGTGAAAAAAAAAATGCGTAAAGCGCGCTTCCGTCATCTCTCAACCCGGCCTCACTTCAACCAGTGGCGCAATCAAAATTTCGCCAGCGGGAGACTAGTGACTTCTCCTCATTGGGGGCAGAGGGGGTGGGGGGCGAAAGCATTTTGACCGGAGTTAGGGGAACTAGAACCAAACTTGGGGGGGGGGGGGGGGGGGGGGGCCCCGCCCCCCCCCCCCCCCCCTCCGCCCCTAGCTTTCGCATATATTTAGCGGGAATCCAATGTTGGGCATAATTGGTGGAAGGGGTTAGGACTCGGAGAAAGCTGCTGCTGAGGCTGGATGATCAAGCGTATTTCCTGGATTATAACCGAGAAAACAGCTCGGGTTTACAGTAAATAGGTAATTTCATCGACTACTTGTCAGTAGCCTAGACTAGAGGGAGCGATCACGTTTTCGGTTAACTCTCCTCATTCTCTGTTTGCGGACGGTTGCCCAGAGTGCGGAGAGTCGACTGGGCTACTCTCCGCACTGGGGACGGTTGACTGTCCGCGCCGGGTGACTCTCAGCGGAACATCCAGGACAACAATTTTTCATTGCACTGCAGCATTTCTTATCCCTCAGCAGAAAAGCTACCTTCACCTGCTGTGGAACTGATGATGTACATCTACAAGCATGAATTATTGTTAGACATAATGAGAGGATTGACAGGATATTAACCCCATGAACACACAATGCATCTGTATGCATGATGGAGGAGTCATGCAACCAATACACGTGACGCACACCAGTTGCTCACAGTGCATGCCCACAGGGGGAAACAGCATCACAAGAGGAAGTAAAGTCAGTGGGAATAGCATTCAAGTAGAGAACTATAGCAGAAATAAAATATTATTTTATTTGATACAAAATTCTGGTGTATGACAGCAGGATATTGTCTAATACCTGGTGTGTTAAAGGGGTTAACGGGATTTTCTGGAATGACCAGCCAAAAATTGATATCCAAGAAGATAACCCACTTTAGATATAAGTAATATTGCTATGCTTATGCTTCCTTTCATGGTATAGACAAGAATGTGTTTACACATAAATGGTGAGCTCCAGTGAGCTTCTGTCACACTCAAGCAGGTTAATGGAGTGGGTGAATTGCACTCTAGAATCCTCAGTGGAACTCTTGCACGTGCACTTGCAACTGAGTTTTCATACTCACTTTTGCCCACCCCTTACCCTGGTGTTGTCAGTAGTTCTTAAGAGAAACCTAGTAATTACAGTCATCATTAATGATGAAAGGGTATACTGCTAAGCCAAGCCCATGGAGTGACATCTCTTCTTGAGTGATGAAATTGCTATTTCACAACTCCACAATAGAGCTCATAGAAAAGTACAGAGCATATGTAATAATCAGCCTGTAAACACAGTGCTTAAGAGACTAATGCCAGGCAGTGGTGGTGACCTTCCCTGGTTCTATGCAAAACAGTGCCAGGACAAACTTTAGACATACAGCTTTGGAGTCCACAGGTCATCTTTATAGGACTATAATGGGAAATTACTTACAAATTTCACAGCTGCACAAATGCACCCCTCAGGCCTTGTCAAGGTCAAACAAAACTGTTAAGTGTTGCAAGTATTGGTAATTCTGCTTGGCATTGCCATGCTGGAATTGCATATTTGTCTGATCTACCTGTGGGACATCACTGGCTTGATAGGAACTTAAAGAATGTAATATTTCAATCTCCATTAGGTTTATATATGTAGTCATTAAACTCACTATAAGTCAGTTACAGTATTAATTCTCATATCTTTTCATCCATAGGACATATCCTGTAGTATTTTGAAGTTACAGGATGTGGTGATTATCCCTCATTTGTGATGTTTATTTTACTTTGGACAGGACTCTGGGAGGTATGCTTCGAAAACTTCCGTGATCCTCTTCACCTGTATGACAGATATTTCAAGGGTTGTAGGTGGATCTTTGATGAAGAGTACCATGTCATCAGTGACATCATCCTGCCACGTAAGTGTGCATCTAGTAAATCTTACCAGAATTTAAAAAAATTAGCATCTACTTTTATCTTAGCTGGGTTCTTATAAGCATGTCTGTGTCAGACTCAGTTTCTGGTACATAAATAAATACTATTGCTTGTCTGTTATCTATTACCAAAAGTAATATATAACTAGTGCAATAGGATCATTTTTCATGTGGCGGATAAGGACTGTCATTCAGAGAGGCATGATACTGTACAATGTCTTATTTGCAGCTTTCTTTGTGGCAGTCCAGTGGTTCTTCACCTTCAGCTTTGTATTCCATTTGGTGGCATGCATTGTTCTAGTCATGCTGCAGACTTGCTGCACTCCACAAAAGGAACGTGTCACGCTCAGGTCCCTGGCTGGCATTCTCTTCTTTGCAGGTGAGTGGTTAACTTTGTCAAGTATAATTGAATCTGTTGTAAAAATGTTTGGAGATGCATTTGTGAGTCTATCTTGCTAGGAGAATTGGACAGTAAGACAGATGTCAAGTCCAAAAAAAATACAGGGTATCTTGTACATCACTATACCATTTAAAAAAATCACATTTATTAAACAGTTGACACAAAAAGAAATAACATTAACTGAACGATAGCATGTCATTTGGAATTATTTTGGTAACAAATGGAGGTTTTTCTTCATTTTGAAAGGGCCTCAAAATCCTCCTTGCCTATATCAATACATTTGGTATGAGGCTGGCATTAAAAAATAGCTGAAACTTCCCTTTAACTTTAATGGGACTCTCAAAGACCTCCATCAAGGTTGCAACTTTTCTTTGTTGCTCCAGCATCAATTGCAAACCTTTTCTCTTGACAGTAAAAGCAAATTAAATGAAATAATTGGTTCCTTTTTCTGTTCCTTGAGTTTTTCCAAAGTTAGAAGTAATTAACAAAGTTTAGCAAATTCATAGATAAGGATTCAACAAAGTGTACCAAAAATGTCTCCCAACAAGTACATCTTTCTAATATGCATTTGAAGCTGGCTCTGTTTGAGTCTGATTCAAAGTCATTATTGTGAAAAAAAAATTCTAAAGAACATTCTTTCCCCCAGTTCTAATAATAGTGAGTTGCTTGTTGCAGTTTGAAATGGTATAGTGACTTATGGGACACCCTGTATTCACTGAGAGTGTATCTGCTCCATAGACTGCATGATGCTCCTGTAATACAGGGTGGCTATAAAGTCAAGCATCATATGTAACTTTTTTTTCATAAGTAATTTACTGCTAAAATGTCTCTTTCAAAAAAAGAAAGAGTGGAGATAATCCTATTGAGTGGTAGGGAAAACTGGTCATAGAGAATAGTAGCCAATCAATGAGACTTGCCGAAACAGGCCTAATATCACTCAGAGTGCTGTTTTACAATTACTTCAAAATTCAAAGAAACTGAGAATGTTATGGACAAAGAAAGATCAGGTCAACCAAGGTTGTCAGAAGAAACCAGTGGTAATGTGCTAGCTAAATTTACTGCCAGTCCAAAGAAATCAACATGTAGGACTTACCTAGAGCTTGGTGTGTCCAGAACCATGGTACAAAAATTATCAAAGAACAAAAATGGTATCCATACAATTAGCAGATTCTGAACCACCTCAACAAAGGTGATCCAGACCACCATCTTGAAATGTGTGATGAAAGTTTTCCCCTGAGAATTTTCTGCAAGTGTTTGGAATTTGAAGGAAAACATTTTGAACATATCATATAATATGCTTATGATGCTTGAATATATGGCCACCCTGTAGTTTTGTATGAAATATGAGATGAGAGTGACTCTGAGACTGATAAAATTGTGGAGACATTAGGTACTCATTTATAATTCCCTACCATGAGTCCTGATGCACCCAGCCAGGCACTATATGCTAGGCACAAATTAACAAATTAAGAATCCATTCCTTCATTTTCGCAGTATCTTAATCTTAGTATCTTAAGCATCCAAAAGGAATACTTCCAAAAGAACATCAGATAATTCTTGGGATTTTGAAAAAAAAACGGTATTTCCTTCAAAAAGTCACTTAGAAGGAATGAAGAAACTAAATCAGCCAGAAATAATTCCATATCAACTTTATCACTTTTTAAAATGAATTCACTCATGTTACACTTCCTTGGCCATGAAAGGGTTATGTTGGCCCCTATTGATGTCTCAAAGAATCTACCACAGATAAACTTCCCTCCCTTCCCTCATTTTTTTAAAATGGACTCTGGACAATGTTCAGAATATAGAAATTGCGCTAAAGGGAAAGGTCAGTAAACCCTGTTTCACGTGACTTAGAAGTAATGAAGGCACAGCTGGGTATTCTGGTTTCATCAAAAGTTGATGTAGAAAGTGACCAATCTGGAAATTCAGACTATGGTTATAAGTTCTTCCATAGAAAATTGAAACATGTATACTCCTAGTCATTCTTTGACTTGAAACTATCCTGGTTCTACATGCTAGCTTTGTCTTTATTTAAACATATGGGCCATTCAGCACTGTTCTGAAAAGATAATTATTTACCATCAACTCCTCTTGCCTGGAGCTGATTTTTCTATGCTTCCTCAATCTTGAAAATGAGAAAAAAACCATTTATTTTTCAGCTTTTTGTGGAACAATCTCCTTGATCACATTTGGAGCAGAAGGTGATTCCCAATACTGGATGCCTGACTGGAAACACAACCATCTGAGCTGGTCTTTTGCCTGTGGGTTTTTGGGTGTTTTTGTCCAATATGTGGTTGCCATCTTATGCTTAGTTGAAGCAAGGCAGCAGATCAAGAAGGCAAAGCGACATCCACAGATTGTGTACAGTGTAGAGGGAGGTGGGAAAATGTGAAGCCCTTCTTCTCAGAATCAATAGTTTCACCTTTCCATCCAGAAAGCTCCATCCATTATCTTCCCCCTGTGATTACCTCATATCTTTGTGCAAAGACACTCACATGGATCTGTTCCTTTTCATTCTTATTTCTGCATCCATTTTACTTTCTCAGTAGTTATAGTTTTTACTTTTATGGTACATGCATTTTGATACCAGTGCTATGAGTGGAAGAAAGACATTCACTTGCAAGGCCATGTATGTCATTGCAGGATAGTGACCATTTTCTTAGTTCTCGCTATGTGATCTCATTTTTTAAGTCTCAATGTTGTGCAGACCATCTCATGAAACATTTTCCGTCCAGCTTTTTTTTTTTGCTTTCTTGACTGCCATATATTTCATATTATTAATAAAATGCTAGGTTGTATTGACTTGTCCAAACAGGCTATCAGTATTTGATAATGGCATAGGCTGTTAGACATGCTTGGTGAATGACAGGATAAGATCTTTGATGTTGCCATCAGGTCAGAGCTAAGGTGAGGCTGTGAATGAAATGGGTAATTTCATGGTAGAGTACCAATGTTACAAGAACCCTCTAAAATGAAATTTCTTATCATTCACTGTAAAAGTATTGCAAACAATAGCAGATTTTGACTATGAATAAGTAAAAATTTCCAAGAAAACTAAAAAAAAAAGTGTGCTGAATGACAACTAAGCTCGGAATTTCGGTGGCCCAGACACTCCACTTCAGTCTATCTTCATAAATTTATCTTTAAGTTTTGTATTCATGCATTATAATTGTACTAAACACAGATATGCTTTCAACCAAAATAAGTAAATTATACACTATGGAAAGAAAGAACAATTGCAATCGTTCTACTACAGATTGCGGCTAACAAATCGAATTAAGATAGCAGTGTTTGTAATTAAATGATTTAATGAGAAAGAACGCAGTCTTTTTTTTATCATTTAGAACATTCTCACAGTATCTTCTATTGGGTTTCCTTTCCCAGTGTCCTGATTTTAGAGATACTTGTATGCCTACATGTATTTTATATAATAAAAGCTGTATTGTTTCTTTTATATGCAGTCGACATACGATTGACCTGGTATTCAGCCCGATATTATACGGGAGAAAGTGACAGTATAAGAGGCGAGACCGGTGCTTCATTTAAGGCTATCAGAGGGTTGAATTCGATACGGAAAGTGACGTTGCCTATACTGCTAAAGGTTGGTTGGTATGCGGTGAATATAGACAAAAATTGGCAGGATCGAAGGTTGGAACAACGATATGAAGTCGAACAATTGCGCATCCCATGTACACCTCTGATGTGATATCAACCTGGTGTAGAGGCGAACGCGGGTCGGACGTGTTGCGGTCCCTCATCGCTCTACCCACTACATGGAACCGCAGGATCGTGGCGGCGCTAGAATCCGCTTCAAATTAGCCTACTGTAGCCATGGCGATGCTGAGGAGAAAACCAACGCCACTCTGGTACTGCAGCAGAAGACTGTAATGCTTTGTGCGCACCCAGACACCAAGCCAGGAGATTGACTACTTGGAACAGAATACAGACTGTTTTCATGAATGTCCTTGGCTCCGTCAGTGTTTACGTTCTCTAGTCCAGAACGTGTCGACATCTTGTGCATTTGATATACGCCTGGGCCTAGGCCTAATGATAGTCGCTAGAAGCCAGAATGCATAGGCCTCAGCCGTTGAACATTACCTTGATAGAATCGCGTCTCAAACGTCGACTAGGACTAGGCCTTGGTCTATTTGGTCTGTGGTACGACTTCCTTATGCATAGCCTCTTGGAGGTTGACCAATGCATAGGCCTAGTCTGCTCCATTCGGACACTTGCGCATCGCAAGATCGTTTTCTTTGCTGGTAACTTTAAGTCTAACGTTCATTGAGTGAAACTTTCATCTGTTGCCTGCAATTATGTCCGTATGATATTAGACACTTACATAATTAGAAAACTTAAATGGGAAGAATGTCCAAGTGATCAGGTTTTGTGGATCAGAAAAATAAGCCTTCAGGTTGATTAGAATGTTACTGGATTGACTTTTTTCGCCGTTTACATGTGCTCAATATTTTTCCTTTGGTTCTACCATCAAGTTGTGCAATAACCGTTCCCTTGCTCAGAGAGGGATGTTGCTCCTTTGGCTGGAATTGGTATACCTCTTTGGGATTGATGGTGTTTGCAAGTACTAGATGTATTTCCAGTACCATTGACAGTAGTGCCAGGAGAAAAAAGTAGATGGGTAAAAGTCAATCTGGAACCACTGTAATTGGTGTGATGGTGAGTTGTAAGTTTTAAGGGGCTACAATTGTAATTTAAAAAATTAAGCTTTATCTGCAGAAAATACCCAAGAAAGGCCTATTTGGTTTACTATGTATAGATCCTTCTCTCCATTGAAGATGAAAGTTTGATTAGTTTGCCCTTTGACTCACTTTTAAGATGACCTTTGAAATATTCATACTTTCTCTTTGGAGCTTAAGGAAAAGAGTTTTGTTACTGATAGGCCTGTTTTCCCCCTTGTGCTGTCATTCCCTTCAACTTTATGAATTCATTCTGAATTCACTGCATGAGCTGATTTTTCCATACGAAAGGCAGACTCTCATTCAAACAACTGTGAGATTCCACCTTTGATAAATTATGCAAAGAACACTAGAGGACTTGGATATAGGTGAAATCATGATTGCAATTTTCATTAAATACACATGGTGGTTATCATATTGTAATAACAGCATTTATGAAATGGCAAAGATAATCCAGGATAGAAGATGTAATTTCATCTTGTCATTAGTGTATCTTCTTCATTACAGGTTGGAATCAGGTACAACTTTATGTAGACCTACAGGCTGGTGCAATAGTTTCAGCCTACCTGATGCCATCTGGTTTGGTGTCATTAGCAAGAGGTACATGGGAAAGAGTTCCTCACTTATTCTAGTCTGGTGTGAGTGATCTGAGCCAATCGGCAAAGGAAAATGTCTCGTGCTGATAGAAAGCGTGGGGATGCAGGGATTGCAGCATACTGCACAACTGCTGTAGCTCTTGTTCTGGTCACAATTGCATTTTTAACCCCCTACTGGATCCAGTATGATTACCGGATCTATGGAGCAAACCTGGAAAAGCTTGGCCTGTGGACCCACTGCTTCCGTTCCCTTCCAGATCCAAAAGACTATTATCACTTTCGATACTTTGTGGGTTGTCGGTGGATCCTTGACCCTTTCACTACTGGATATAGGGAAATAAGGAGTTACATCAATCCACGTATGTTGATGAGAAGTTCTGTTATAATAAAAAAAAGGTCCTATCTATCTGTTTCTTTATATCTAACATGTATGTATATATTTTTTTTTTATCCCTTTCAGCCTTTATGGTGGCAACACAAGTGCTGTTCACATTCTGCTTTTTCTTGCTCCTCTGTGCATGTGTACTGGTATTCTTGGTCATTCTTCACTGCTTGGTTAAGAGGGAGGTTCGACTTATGAGGATCATCTCTCTTGTGCTCCTTATATCAGGTTAGTTGTAGTAGGTTTGAATTTCCTTACTTAAATGTCCAGGTTTATTGTCCGGATGAAAACTGATTGATAAATTCAAAGTTTGTCTTGCAGAAGACAATGTCTCAATGTCTTACGCAACACACTAATGTGTTTTCAAAAATCTTTTGCAGGGATTTTTGGGACATTTGCAGTGATAGTGTTTGGTGCCAAGGCAGCCAGTGAAGAGTGGCTTCCAAATCTCAACCCTGCACACACCTATTTGAGTTGGTCTTATGGTTTGGCTGTTGTGGGGGTTTTCTTTGAGTTTGTCACCGCCCTTCTCTTTTACCTGGAAAGTCGGCTTCAACGAAAGAGAGATCTGACCCCATCCTCCCAAGCATCTTATGTAGCTGCATCAACCAAAGCTTAAGACATACCGGGCATCTATGCATGCCATGTTGCCTGCATTCATCATTGGATGTGCAATCTTGGTATGCGATCTGCTCTGATCTCCCATACCCGTTTCTTTATTCTGTTGCTTTTTGTTTTTTTTCTGAACTTTCACTTGAATGTTTTGAATGCAAGAGAGGTGTTCAATAATTTTTTTAATTCACTGTATACGTATGTATCTATGAGTCCCATTCCATATGCATCCAAAGCTTGTGTTCTATTAATTAATGAGACTAGTTTGTTTTTGAGGCCATAATCTTCTTCAGTTTCTAGTTGTATCTATATTCCATCCTGTGTTTAGTTTTTTCTAAATATTGAAGCATTTGTAGGATACATTGCTAAAAGTTGACTTGTTGCTAAAATAAAAATGCTGATTAACATAGTGCAATGTATAGATCTAAAATAAATATGCATTGTACAGTTTGTCAGTGCCATTCCCCATCAAAAGGTTGAGGAGCAGTCCGCTCTTGGCAGCTAGGCTTCCCCTGTGATCCCTTGACCTAGACATTCCAAGTGTGAGCCTAACCATTGCAAACTTAAACATTCCACCTTTGTACCATATATAGGGAAATATGCTGAACACCCTACTTTCATACCATCCTAAGGTTTCAATTTGTGTCAGAAATCCCCATTTCATAATCAGGAAGTATGAATGGCAATAATGAGCCAATGCAAACATTTTCTTGCACACTTCAGTTTCTCTGTCAGCTTTAGATATGCTTTGGAGAACAAAAGAGTCCAATTTTGGAAAGGATCTTCCAAAGAGTTATTCATTTGCATCTGTGGAGACTGAATGTTCATGCCCTCAAGTCTGGAAAAAAAAACCAAGATCTCAAAGCCCTTTACTCAACTCAGCACTAATTATATGTAGCACGAAACTTTTGTTCATTCAAAGCACTCTATTATACTAAATCTTTTGAATGTGATTTAAGAAAAATATTTTATTCATCCACTTGGGTTATATAATACAGGTTTCTGAATAAATGCATCCTTGTGTTTTTTCATGGTGAAACAAAAGAGCTTGCCTCTACACTTTCTCCAAGTGCTCACACTGATACTAACACAAACCCTGTGACCATGTCTTTAAAAGAGTGACTTATCCCATTCCGTCCATTTCTAGGTCTAAGATACAGTTCATGTATACCTCTGTTTTGTATCAGGATTTATATTTTTTATCAGTAGTTTCATGTCCCATGTATTGTAGATGGGACCTTTCTTGTGGCTTTCTCATTTTTACTGGAACTGTGTCATGAGAATAAACATTTTATCAGTTATTGCTTCACCTTCAGGTGTCATTCACTTCATGCCCATAATCTTAAATGAATTTAAAATCACCATCTGATGATTTTTTTTTTAGAGAGAATATTCTGAACGCATTTCAATTTTTGTTTTTCATTATTTCCCCTGTCCCTAGTAAGCTTCAGAATCAAGGCCATTTGCATGATCCTCGAGGAAACAAATCATTTTCTTTTGCAGAATGTCATGGTGGAGTCAGAGTCGGGATTGACTTACTTAAAAAGAAGGCTATTTTCCTGTGGACCATTGGGCCACCAATATCAAAGAGTGGCATTCTCTTTGAAAGCACTTTTGATTCTGAATGCAAAAGTCCGTAGGGGCTTCATACAGAAATAAAGATTTATCATGTTATGAGGGAAAAGCCATCACTGATATCTGAATATTTTCAATTTGTCTCAGATCTTATCCCAAAAAATTAGTGTTGCCCACTCCCCATCATGTGGAGGTACACCCAAAGGGAGCTTAGAAGTAAGGCATTTTTGTTTTCTTTCAAAAAAAATTGTGCAAGCGCTATCCATACGTACAGGTGGTTCGAAAAAGTAAATTGTCCAGACGGTGATTTAATCTCGAGCGTAACGATCGGTACTCGGGCGTGGCCGGTAAGACTAAATTACACGAAGTATTTATGATCTTACTGGCAAACCGCCTTATCGTTACTGATATAGAGAATTTGCTCCCTTTGGAAAGGTTCGTAGTGGTCGATACGGAATCAATTACCTTGGGCAAGGATTCCTAAGCGAACCAGGCTTCACATAGATTATATTTATTCTAATTTGTTACCTAACATACAGTTCCAAATGCAAGAAGATATCAAAGATATTAATAGTCAAGCAATGATCTAATATCCTCAGCACAACCAAGCAAGGGCGACAGCTTCAATTCGCAAAAACACAATGAAGTTCTGAGGAAAGATAAACAAAAACTAGTTCACCATCAATGCAGCAGCGCTTCGCACCTTATCTCGTGATTTATTGAAATCACGGCTAACACAATGAAATCGAAAGGGGTTGCTCGGGCTCCAACCGTCGCACACCCACTCTCCGATCTCGTCCTTGCTATTTCTGATCGTTCCTTCCGGCTTCAACCACCAAGGAACAGGATCTGGCTCCAACCGGATCCGCCTAAGTCCGGCTTAGGTACTCGGCCCCAACCGAATAGAAATAGCCAGGTTCCAGATTACAAATGGGACCCTAGTCCTGACACTTGGTGACAGTAGCGAAGTCTGAAACACTGTCCTCTCACCTCCTTCTCCTCCTTCCTGAAGTTCGAGGTCGAGTTTTTATAGTGTTCCTTCCCATTAGTCCATGTCGAACAATGAGTATCTGGATGACTGGACGAATGCTACCACATCAATAATAATCCTTTAATGAAGTGGTTCTCCGGACGAAGGTCGATTCCTTTTGACACATGTCTTGGAGCGTCATAGATCAAAAGGTATCATTCCTTTTCTCACACCACCGTCCTTCTCGTCTACCTGGTACGCTAACGCCACTGAATGACGAATGGACGATAGAAGAATTAATATTGTTTTTCCATTATTCCTGGGAACTCATTAGGCATCCAAGAATGGAAGATGATTAGTCACTCGAGTGCTACACGAGTGTCTAACTCTAACACTACCCCAGTGGCACAGAGGCTTGGACCTCTTCCTTCCAGCTGGGCTCGCGATTTTCCTTCGTTGGCATCGTCATGATGAGGAAAGAATTAGACTGACACGGAATTCGAGCTCTATGCCTGATGCCTCCGTGGTGGGGTTCTCATACTTCACGTGACCTTTCTAACGAGATGAAGATATATCATTTGGGTTTTGACCTCGTTTTCCGTTAACTGGTAATTACCGTATTGGAAATTTCAGGGCTTATAATTCGGTGATGGAATGAGATAGACTTAGCTCGAGATTCGCTTGCGTGGCAACAAGGGCGAAAGGGAAGCCGCCTCCTTTTTTTTATTACCAAGAATAATAATTTTATACCCTCAATCAAAAACTGGTAGCATTATTAGCTGAAATGACCGGAAACGAATTCACTTAAGTTTGCTTTTTGATACGACTTGCGACTTGAGGAAGGTCGCGGTTGCGGCAATTTTGTTGCTTCCCACACGTTGCCGCCACATTCGCGAAGGCCTTCGATCGCGTGTCAGGTTTCAATAAATTGATCCCATTTCGAGTTGTGGGGTCTGCGGCGCGACTCATCCAGATAAAAACGCATATGCACGAATTCGAGTTGTGACTTCATCCGATCCACCCATCTTTGCTATTTTCCAGTCACATTCGAAACGCAAAAGAAAAAGACGAAGTTCAGTTCGGGTCGTGGAATGTTCAGCGGTCTGGATATCTCCTGTGGGTCGCTGACCCCCGAGCGGAAGGTTCTATTTAACGACCCTTACGAGAACGTAAATATTAGTCGAGGATATTAACGGTAAGACAGAGGAAAAGCTAAAATGAGTCAGAAACCTATCTATTTGCGGAAGCCCTGTGACAGACACTCAGAAATTTTTTTTTCCCAAGCTTCAACCTAATTTGAAAAAAGCGTCCATACCAAAAGATCTATTATTGCCACTCTCGTACCCAGGGCTGTAATTACCCCATGTGGCGCCCCGGGCAAAGTATCCAGACACATCCATACAAACACAATCTTGTGGTGTCCTTGAGCAGATGCCCAACCTTGCCCCTTGCATCCCTTATTTACGGCCCAGTTCTTATACCGTGATATCCCCTTACGAGATTGAGCCTTGCAAGGTACAACAACCGAGGTATTTATTTACACCACGTGACGAGGGTGCGTGCCCAAAAGTGTAGTCGAGGATTTCGCTCTCTCAAGCGTTGAAATCGCCTCGCCACCGACCATCATAATAGCCCCGAAAACCACGAAAGGGAAGATAATACACCGTTGCGTTTCCGAAACCTTTTCGTAGTCGCGCCACTAAGGGAAAGTGCTGCGATCCCCGTTCATCACGCATTCCGGACTTTACAGCCTGAACTGATGGGATTCAAATGTCTGGAACAACCGTGACACATTCTTTGCAGCAAAGAAATGTGTGGAAATAAAACCAAGGGCTTAGTTCGCCTGAAACCTCGCAGTCGAGAATCTTACATACCCCAAACCCTTCACCAATAAAATCCCTTCAATTCACAGGTATTTCTAAGCGGGTAAAGGCGAGTGAACCACCAAACGCCATCGATAAGGAAAAAAAAAAGCCGAGTGACCAGACTCTTTCCCTATGCATTTACTCCCGTTCCCGAATTTATCTCCTCATTTATGTCCCGAGTTACTCCCACTCCCGGGTTTATTTCCTCATTTATTTTTTGCTTTCAGTCCCACTCTCGCCACTCGAACCTGCGTGGGTTACGCTCCCGATTCCCGAACTGCCGGAAATTCCTTCTGCAAAGACCGGGAAGACCTTGTTTAAATGGTTATGGGACTGCCAGTCTGCGAAACGATTTAATCGCACCCGATTCGCACGACCACGATCATTTATTATCTGAAATTCATACCGGGAAAAAATGAACTTCTGGGAAGTCATTCCCCTCTACATCGCGCTTAGCAAACCCTGAGAATAGCGATCAGCGGTTCTATTGGTCGTTTCAGCAGCCAGATATTCTGTACTCCCGAAAATGAGGGGGGTTCATGTAGGGCCGGATTAGGAAGTTGCGAGGCCCGGGGCAAGGACAATACTTTTTTTGAACTTAACGTTTTTAATTTCCTTTGGGGGCCCCCTGGAAGAGTGGGGCCCGGGGCACTGCCCCCCCCCCCCCCCCCCCCCCCCCCCCCCCGCCCCGCNNGGGGGGCCCGGGGCAACTCCCCCCCCCCCCCCCCCCCCACCCCAAATCCGGCCCTGGGTTCATGTTATCAGTCATTCTATCTTATTGGAGTTTGCGTTATTTTTTTGTTTCATCCATCAGCATTGCTCCACATCGATGGAACAGTGAGTTCCGGATGACTTTCAGTTCCGCTCCAGAAAGGTTTTCACTCTGGTCTCGTCCCACAGGATGGCAACGGGGCTTTCGGAAGTGGAACTCCCGCTTCTCTCTTTAACGGTGATGCCACCCCCGGAATTTCAATTGAGGACTGTCGTATCTGACCGCAAGATGTCAGGACCGTTGCGCTAAGGCTTCCCAACATGGTCACTTCCATGCATGTGTTTGTCCTGAATGCATGACGGATCATGATTGGAGCTATCATTCACAACGGTACATTGGCTTAAATTTGCACCTAGCTTTGTTCATATCATTCATGACAAGAGCCCACATTCTTTAGTGATTTCAAATCTGCTTCTTAGCCTCCCCTTTCAGTACTGCAAGTTAGGCCCACACTCCAAAACCATAAGCCTAACGCATACGATACAGCCGAAGTCCGGTTTTCAATTAAAGGTGATACGAAATAACACAACGCTTGAGTAAGACCTCAAGGTTAAGCTTAAGTGTAACGTTGGCCAAGTCTTGGCCAATGGCTAGTAGTAGGCCTAACGTTAGTCTCGCCGAAAGATTAGACCATAAGTGACTGGTTGGATACCCTGGACAACTCTGGATTGAATTATCCCCAAAGCTTCCCAGGCAATCCATATGGCCATACCCAACAGCAGCATTGTAGCAATTGCAGCATTGTGGCCATACCCAATAGCATGCCACGACTTTGGTATTTATTGGCCTCATTTGCTTGACCCCAACCTAAAAGCTAAGCTAGCCTTGTAACATGTTTGGAAATATTTAATTTGAATACAAAGTGCCTATGAGTGCTCTAAGGAAATTTAAATGAGTTTTTTTTCTTCTGGTTTCCCAATTTGTTCTACAATAGGCCACAATTTCCTCAGAACTCAGAACTGCTAGCTCATGAGTCAGTCATAGTTAGGGTATGTAAATGATGAAATTTGAAATCATGCTTTACAAAGCCATGTGATATGGATAATTTTTTTTTTTTAAATCGAAAGATCTATGAGTACCATTGACTGCATCATATTAAGTATCATCACACTGTTCACACAAGACAGCCTTATAAGTATGCTGTGGATCTGGAAGGATACTAATTTCCAGAAATACCTCCCTTGCACTGGTTTTGATCAGATTAGTATTATGAATATTTGCATTCCAGTGCAAGGATTCACATTTGGAATTTCCTATGTTCTATACATTGATACATTGAGTATACCTAAAAAATTAAGGTCCACCAGAGAGAAGGAATTGTTATCTCTAAGTAAAAAATAATATTTTAGATTTGCTCATGAAACTCATCTAGATATTCATGATGACTCATGTAATAAAAACTGAATTCATTGAAGATAGTTCTAAATCATTTATAATTTTAGAAAAATTAAGCCTAGTAGGGTAGAAATCATGTTTCAAAAGTTACAGTTTGGAAGGTCAAACCAACCCTTCTGGCTTCATAATTCTGTCAGTCTCAGTTCTATTCACTAGATATCTCTGACATACTAAAATAATGCTGAATAGGGGGTAGAAATTGAACCCATATCAGTTATTAGAGAGGTCAGAGCCATAAAATGTTGAGCTAGAAGCAACAGCAGCTCTCTAGCAATTAAGGACCAGTTGAATGGGTCCTGCAGCCTGCCCTGCAGTGTTGTAACTTTTCTGCTCTGGATCTAGGCAATACCAATATTAGCAAGCAGTGTCTTTGTGATGACTTCACATGCCTCCATAAAGGCTCTGGTGGTGTTTTTGACTCTAGGGACAGCTACTGAATACCAGTTTAGGTTATATGGAAGACTGGAGAATATAGTTCTGCTGGCATCAGTAGGCCCCGTGGAAAACCATAGCTGGTTTACATGAAAAGATGTGTGAACTCACTGTGAAATCACAAAGATAAAAATGTAATTATGTCTTTAAAAGTTTATAACTCCTTGCTTTACTGGTTTGCTTTGATTGCCTAGGCCCTGAGGACAATCTACATAAACTGGGTTTTTTAATACCTACCACAGGAAGAGAAAGTGTTCATAGAATTTGGGGGCATTTGCCTCCTGATTTAAAATAGCCTGGATAACCCCTAAACTTCATTTCCATGCCTTTGGATTGTGGAGATGGCTGTAACTGAGAGTGAGAGGTCATTTGCAAGAATGCAGGGATCACGTAGTGATGTCTCATCAAGACCTGATGATTTGAAGGTTCGGGGGAGAGATGCTTCAGGTAAGGGAAAAAAAAACAGGGAAAAATTAATGCCTGATAATTAAAAAATTATTTTGCAGGATAGTAAATAAGGATATTAGAGTGAGGCTTATGAAAATTAATCAGAGTTGTCATGCATGAGAGTTTTTTCTCTCATCAGTTACTAGACCTGAGACAGATCTGATCAATTTGAAGATGTGCAATATAGTTAATTAGTTGTTGTACAAATGGAGTCCAAAAAGTTTCCACAAACTTCTAATAAAAATTAAACCATTGTTTTCATTGCTACCTGGATATCATCCTCCTGCCATCCCTGCTTTTTTTTTAAATTTTATTTCAGAGTTCATGGTCAAAGAGAAAATAACCTATTTTGGTGACTAATGGATTAGTCAAGTTTCAAAATGATCATTACCTTACTGTTTTGGCCTGATGGCCAGAAGAAAACAACTTATTTTCCCTATGAGGCAAATGATAAAAAGAATAGTCTTTTGGAAAAGAGGTAAATAATGTGAGAAAACCCCTTACAAATTCCTGCATGTCTGTCAGCAGACCTAAAAAGCTCTTAATGGCAGCTTGTTTGGTGAGGTTATAGTTACTACAAAATTAAATGTAATCACAGAATCTAAAGAAATGAAACCTTAAGGGGGTTGTTTCTCTGCTTCTTTCCTGCATAAAACTACAGTGACAATGATAGAAGCATTCATAATGGTATTACTAGTCAGTGGGCTTGCATATCATGTTTTCTTTCTATATTTCAAGGACTAGTTATGAATTTTCATTCACTCAGTGATGCATACCTGTTTCCTTGTAGTGAAACTGTTAGCAGGGGCTGTGCTGTCATTCATATCTGGGATTATCCTGCTCATCTCATTTGCAAGGTGAGTGTATTATAAACATGTGATTACAAGAAGCCAGCCTGGGATAATCATGAAAATGGCTTCTGTCAGATTTGAACATTTGGTCAACCCCTTCAATTTTAATTAGCAAACATGGACACATACATGCATACAAAATGCTTTTTGGGCTTCTGGTCAAGAAGTTTGAGATGATCACCATCCTCTTTGTTGTTGAAGATGAATATTTATACTTGTCATTTTAGACATTCTCTTATGCTGCTTCTCATATGAAAGGCCAATATGATGTTACATATTTTGCAGGACCAATTATCACTGGTTTATTTCAACTTGAATTCAGTAAGATTTGCCTTCTTCAAACTAGCCTTATATGTTTTTCTAAAAATTGCCAAATAAGGTACCAGCTACAGCTAGGAATTATTCTCCTTCATCACCATATCCTCCTTAAAGTTGAATATAAATTGAATTGTATGATGTTGAATATATGTTGAAGGCCTTGACCAAGAATTGCCTAATAATTATAGACCCAGAAGCAGGAGTCACTAGGTTTGAGCATAGACAGAACCGAGACCACTCTGTTCTCCTACCCAGCCCTTCAATAAAATTCCCTTCAAATGCCTATTTTATTTTTGCACCAATAGAAGACAGAAAGGTTCAGATACATGTCCTATCGACTCTGTTGTATGAACTCATTGGAACTCATACAACAGAGTTGACTGAGGGGAATGTTATGTCAGATGTACTCCAACATCAAAGTGGAACTGGGAAATCGCAACGTCAGACCACATCTGACAACTGAGTAATAAGGTTTAACACTTTCAATCATGGTGATTTGAGTGCACTATGGACATAGGAAGTCATATGGTGGGTATGGGGCTGAAGGTGTTAATGGTTGGGTGTATCATAGTCCCTTAACACTAGAACTACTGGGGAAGTCATTTTGATGGTTGCCAATTTTAAATTTTTACTCTGCTCATTTGGCAACTAAAGGCCTCTGCATTTTTCACTTTTCCTATCTAATATTGACATTTTGAACATTTAGCATTTTGAACATACCAAATAACATCTGTAAAAGCAAATAAATTGTTACAGAACAATAGTTTTATACTACAGTTGAACTCTGTTATAAAGTCATTGAAGGGACCAGGTAAAAACCATTGTTATAACCAAGATTGCCTTTATGGGCACTCTCTTTTCCTGTTTTCAAAATTGATGCTATATAACGTTACAACTCCTGTTTACATTGGTCATACTGCACTAGCTTCAGTTTCAAGATTCACCCACTAATTGTGATGTTTGCTCTTCTTTGGACCTTGAACTACTTTATACTTTAGCAAGGCTTCGTCAATGTCATCTCGACAGATCTAGGAAGTTTCTTGTTTTGTGACATGTTCTCATAAGCATGGATGAAGCTGTCATGATTTTCCAAAATTGTGGAAACAGATGAACAGATGTCCATGTTTGTGAGCGACGTTACACTTTGAGCTCTTTCTATTGAACCAATGAAGCACACTTTCCTTTCAATTGTGAAGGCTTGCCTCTTTCATTTTCCATTGGCCATGTTGTCAACAAGAAATGCAAATAGCGACTGAAGATAAGGTGATCTTAATTACTGGGGATTATCCCTCCCTAACATTGCTCCAGCCACACCCACATGACTCTCAAGGAATGACAAATCCAGGAAATATAAAGTTATGGCTCACTGATGCTAATTTTTCCAATGATTGAAATTTCAGTTAAGAATGACAGATTAGGGACATGAAAAATGTAGATTTCATCTGTGGGACCTTCAATGGACTTCGAACTGAGGTTTTGTTATAACCAAGGTAAAATGCAACATGCCTTATGGGCTCTTCGCCTGGACCTGGCACTTTTGTGCCAGGATCAAGGTCGACTGTACTTTCAATACAGTAGTTCTAGTGTTAAAATGCTGCCATAAGACTTAAAAACATAACCTAGCTTGGAAAGTAATTGCTCAGTTAAACTAGAAAGTAAGTGGTGGTGACCATATTTCAGCCCTAGTTCAGGTTTTTTCTTAGCACGTAAAGGAAAGATCACGAAATTGTAAAAACTAATGATGCAGGGACAGTTCAAAATCCTCCTAGTTTGAGGTCGAGATAAATCATTGACTACTATCTGGTGGTCACCGGAGACTGCAAGGGGAAGTTTTACTGTATTTTTTCATTTGAATCAAGACATCCATGCATGGGAACTGCTCAATTGCATTGGTGTTCAAGTCAAGTGGAAAAATGTCAGACTCAAGTGAAAAGCCACCACACAACTCATACAGGTAGCATAAGTAGGTACAACTACAAGGTAAGTCAAGGAACTCTAGAGTTGGGGTGTTAATCAAATCTGAGAGTGCTAGAATTGCCTGCAAAGCAGATGATAGGCTAATTTTAATTTTCTTTAATTATGCAAGAGATGGAGTATTAACAACTTGTATGTGAAATGAGATACAAGACCAGCAGGTATTGATCTATTACACATCTCTTGTATCAGTCCCTATTGGTTGGTTTCCTGGGAAAATACACACAATTCCTTCAAGAAGATGGGTCTGTGGGAATTTTGCTTCGATGGCTTCAGGTATCCACGTTATCAACTGGACCATAAATTCAGTGGATGCCACTATGTGTTCAGCAATGAGTACCAGATCATCCGAGAGTGGCTGCTGCCCAGTAAGGACCCCATTCCATTTTCTTTTCTTACCTAAAAGCAATTAATTTACATAATATTAGAAGTGCAAACTGAAGGGTGTGTATCTCTACTTCACAGGCTGGTTGATGACTGTTCAGGCTTTCGTGTCACTGGCATTGTTCCCTTCCTTTCTGGCCCAAGTTCTGATTGCTTTGGTGCTCATGAGGTTCCCACTCCAAATCATGAAACATGAGTATCGCATCATGCAGCTTGCCTCATTCATGGAATTTATCACTTGTAAGCTTGAAAACATTTTCTGAAGAGGGTGTGATGGTAACATTGACCTAATGACTATTTGTTCTTGCAGCCCCCCTGTTATTTCTAGCTGTGGTGGTCTTTGGAAGCATGTGCTTTTCAAGGGATTGGCTGATGTACCCAAATTTCAACTACATTTCTTGGTCATATGGATTTGCTGTTATTGCCATGTTTTCTCATGCTGCTGCCGGAGCCCTTCTCCTCCTTGTAAGTTCATACTTGCTCCAGTTCCATTTTACTTTTGTTCTAACAATTTATTAAATGTTTCCCTTCACCTTCCTTTGCTGACAAAAGCATATTCGAAGGATATTGGTGCCACTTCGGTAAGACATATGATGATTACTTGTTTACTTCTGATCCTGCTTACTTTGCTTAGAGAGGCTTGAAGCCAAAATGCTTCAGAGGAAATCTTGCAGAAAGCATAGATTGCCTGCCTGTATGTAATTGACTGCACTTTACTTTTAGCACATTGCAGAGTCATTTCAACTTTCAAAGTTTTAGGTTTAATCCAAAAAAAAAAAAATCTTTCATTAAATCAAGGACCTAATGCTGCATGGTATTACCATTCCCACATGCACTCTTAGAAGAGGGAGGTAAAAATATTGGAACAGTAACTGCATTTGGTATATGATTTTTTTTTCTTGAGTTAGAATTTCACAGCCTCCTTCACTCTCTGTATAGGAAGCAGCAGAAGCAAAAAGAAGAAGAGCCAAGAGCAACAACCAGCTGCTGATGACTGTTGGTCATTCCTCAAATGGAGCTGGATTTATTTGAATCTCATGATTCTGCCCTTGTTCAAGAATCTCCCAGTGCCTCATGAGAGAAATCATCTCCATCCACATACTTATGTACTCCACTGCTATTATTTTTCTAGATGTTCCCATCATAGACTGGAACATTCCTTAGTCAGATTGATACATTCCATTGTACATCCCCATCTGTGACAATCAAAATGAGACATACATATGTATGTGATACTTCCCGTCCATTGGGGATCACTTGGATCCTCAGACTTGTTCCATTTGTGTGTTTGCATCCTAAGGCTGTGCAGGACAGGTCATATTATGCCTGTGTTTTGTTTCTCATTTGGATGCCTTAGAGTTGAAGCTGACCAAGAAAAAAAAGATCAGGGAGTTCAGGTTATATTTGAAGGATGAAGGTAGCACTGTCTTTGGTCATTTCCAGCCCTTTTTCTTTGGTGAAGATGGAATAGATATGCTAAGTAACCTCTGGAGCTTGTGACTTTTATGCTTATGAAATATGTAACTTCATAAATTTCAATATTGGGCTCAGCCAAATACACCTCTAAGGCACCCAATCACCCCTGATCTCTTATGCCCTAAGACCAAGTTAAATATTTCCCCTGTTTTGAGTCTCATGTGCTTTCCTGAACCCCACACTGCTGGTTTTCATCAGCAGTTCCTTTCCTGCATTTTGCATATTGAATGTGAAGTTTTGAGTCTCAAGTTCTTATTCTCATATGAATACATGAAATACACTCCTTTTATAATCAAATGCAAGAAAAGGATGTGTGCTCATTGCAGGAATCCCATAAACCTGTGCTTCGTTTTGTAAGCTCTTCTGCTCCCCAGAGCAGTGGTTTTCAACCTATTTGAAATGGCATGCAGGGGTACCGCTGGAGTTGCGAACTTTTTGTCTTGGCCTGTCACTGAAGGAGGGCAAGAAGGCCAGGAAATTATAATGCTCCTTTACTGGTATAATCAAGGAGCACTTATTGGAATGAGCAGAAAACCCCATCTGAATGGCTTTTGACACATGTATTCAGCCTGTACGCTTAATGAAATTGTGTAACAGGAATACACAAATATAAACCAATTTTGATCAAGACTGAATGATATTGTATATTCTTGAAATCCAAATTAATTGAGAGTGCCTACCAAGGAAGAATGCCAAAATCAACAGTTGACATGATGATCCTGATTACCATTTGTATGTATGCATTTGTATGTCTACCGTATCTTCTAGGTACACATGAAAAAAAGAAGCAACTTCAGGTTCTGTCCAAGCATTGAAAATTACCTTTGTGGGGTCACTTAAAAAATATTGCACCATATCTTAATTTTTTGTGCTACCCAGAGGTAGGCACAGGAATCTCATCTAAGTGAATTTAACAAAATATAAAGAATTTGAGATAATCTCGAAATGACTGAACTGCTTCTGGGCAAAACAAAATAAATCTTTTATGAATGAATTCAGGTCCTGGTCTCACTCATATTTAGTTTTGTATATATGATTGTGCATGAAGATCTGTGGACATGCAAAGGTGCTGCTGATATCTCACTGTCCAACATGAATGCTATTGCTAACTAAAGATTGAGAACTAATGCCCTAAAGAGAACTCCACACTGAGTTCCAGTTGGAACCAGGTGAAATTCCTTGCCAAATGGCCAGAACTGGAACCTAAAACCATAAAAACCCTTTATTTTTGCTGGAACAACTTTGGAAAGTCACAGGATCCAAATTTGAAATTCACATTTTTAAAACTTACTATTAGGTCGCTTCCATGCTGTTATCCAATGCACAATTGAAGAATGGCCCCGAGTTTATTTCGGATTACTAATTCCACTGCATAGTATTTTGATTTAGGGTGATTATAGTCATTTGAAGAATGTACACCACTCTAGAATGAAAACTATGCAGCATAACTCAGCGAAACTTCAATTGTCATGGCCCACTGAATTTCCAATTCGCTTTCAGATTTCTCATTCATTTTCACCGGGTATGTCAAAGTGTCCGCGAAAAATAAATTTTAAAAAGCAAAGGAAAACCATTAAGCAATAAATTTCGCCTATGCACTTCCCCCCCGTCCCCTCTCCAAGACCCAGCACAAAATACTTACCAGAATTGGCATCTGTACATCAAAGAATACCGAAGATACAGAACCAGTATCTGAACTCTTAGTACACCACTCGTACAAAGGAACTGTGAAGCGTCTGTCATCCCAGCAAACAAGGCTACGTTGTATCAACGTTTCGAGCGTTTATCCAATGTTAATTCAACGTTGATTCAACATCATGCGTTTCAAATTGTTTGCTGGGATGTCACTTCTGTGTTGAATCAATCCGAGTAATAACATTGTACAGGTGCTATTTTCGACCTCTAGGTTATATAGTGCTCTATGGCAACATTTTACATTTTCGTTCATAGCTAAAATTACCGCGCATACAGATGTGACATCAGCAGCGTCCTCTAAAAGGCAAGTGGCTTTACCGCGCACCGTTTTCCTCCGATGCCAAAGATTCACCGACCTATGCTGCATATTTTTCATCGTTATGTGAAGGGACGCCAGTGTAGAAGCTAACATGCATGCATGACATACGACTTTCGCTGGGTGTCGATTTTCCAGGTCCCTAATTTGTGTTTCTTAATCGCGAAAATCACCAACGCGATAAAAAAAAAGAACCGGTTTTACTAAAAATGGATCCAGCCACTTCCAATTATCCGTTGGAACCTAGATAATGGAAGATAGAAAAACTCATTTCCAGCAGTCCTGGCGCGTCGTTCCTGGACTCAAATTAGATTGGTCACCCAGTGATTTGTGCTTCCTGAAACTGCCTGCAGGCGAGGCATATTTGTTTTTAAATAAAAATTATTTCTCCATATGCCAATCCTATGTCTCTCAGTGTCAAACTTTCGCTTTTCGCATTCAATTCAGCTGCATTCATTCCGTTCTGTTAAGAAGTCGAGATGACGAAGATCATCTTACCCAATGAATCGTCAACATGACTCGTCACTCCAATTTGAAACATGGGGACGGCAAATTAGTACTCAAAATTAAAAAAAAAAGGGCTCGAGGGCTTATCGAAAGCAAGCAGGTTTTCAAACTACAGTTTATAATATGTTGAAATGTTTAGTAAGGCTTGTAGATTATCCTTCTTTGTTAATGAGAAACAGCTCATAAGGATGTGATAAGCTGAAAGTATATGATACGGAAGGACTTACCAGGAATGCTAATTGCAGAGCAAATATCCAAAGCAAAGTCTATTGTATCCTCGGGAACGTTGGCATCTACGAGGACGAGACTGCTTTCACCTATTTCTGTCTCGTGTTCTTTTACCTGGAAGTCATCAAAAATGCAAACGGCATCGAAAATGATGTTCGCGCTTTCGTCTGGGGTCTCGCAGGACTCACTCGATCGATCGAAACGAGAGAAAAGATGTCCATGTCTCCGACTCCGTATTTGAGTTCTCCATCCCGAGAAAAGAGTCCGAAGTAGGTCCCGGTCCTCAAACCCGGTCCCGCGAGCACCTTCAACCCGCTCTCGTCCTTCGGAAAGCCCGGAACGTCTCATTTCCCCGGGACGCCCGACGCCCCGACGGAAGCATGCATTCCGAGAGACGACGCCCTACCATGCCAGAGAGATGACCTCGGACGGCAGAGCCGTGGGGATCCCGGGCGATGGCCGTGACGAACAACGGGTCGTGTCCCAATCGATGGAGGACTTCCACGATGTTCCTCCCCACCCCGCCGTAGCTGTGGGTCACCGTGCCCGCGTGCGTCCTTCCGTCCTCCTTTCTCGCAGGAAAAAAAAAAAAGAAACACGAAAGGAATGAATACGCTGGACCCAGCGACGAGGACCAGAGGACCACAGAGCCGAGACGAATCCCCGAACCCTGTATTTAGAGAATTTCCAGCTTCCAGAGTTTTCCGAATTACATGCGAAGGAAATGCGAAAGTTTTCGTCGTCTTAACCCTCATCCGGGCAAGGTGAGTCCGCTGGACTCACTACGACATATTTCGGTCTATTGCTGTCATTGTTTTTTTAAACTATCAGGACCATTGAATAAATTGTCTGTATTATTTTTGTTACAGTACTGTTATTTTAAATAACAGTACTGTAACAAAAATAATACAGACAATTTATTCAATGGTCCTGATAGTTTAAAAAAATAATGACAGCAATAGACCGAAATATGTCGTAGTGAGTCCAGCGGACTCACCTTGCCCGGATTAGGGTTAACGAGCTCCTTGCTGGCTTCAAATCGGATTTCCAACCAGATATCGAACGCGTCGTGGCAGAAACGAAGGGGGAGGGGGAGGGAGAGGGGAGAAAAACAGATGGCTCCTAGGTCTCGTCATTCCATAACTATTTCTGGCACCTATTCCTTTTTTTTTCACTTATTACCATGGCCTCGAAGTGAACCGATCCAACGGAAGAAAGGCAACAATACGACGTGTTTTGGACATCCACAGCCTCTGGATCCTATTAGGGGAATCCCCGCGAGACCCGAATAACAACAACAAGGCGGGCGGGATCCAAGGACGTCCGGGGGGGGGAGGGGAAATCCCCGTACGGATCGCCACCACCCCCATCTCCCTATAAAAATCCCCAGCAGATGACCCCGGGACGTGCAGAAAGCAGACGAGCGCCTGGTGTCCGTCGCAGTGCCACTCCTACCCGAAACTCGCAACTTCGGCATGCTTCTCTCGAGAGTGAGTTCCTTTTCTCCACGAACGCGTGGATTTGTACTTGATATATTTTAAGAATACGAGCCAAGGCCATCGGCAGATAAAAACAAGACCGAGGAGTAGAACGATCTTTACGAGCGATCTTTATAGAACTTTTATCTTGGTACTCCAAGCTCGGAGCAGTGCGTCGCTAGATCCAATATTTTCGAGAGCGGAGGATGAATATTCAGAGAAAACTTAAACAGTTCCATTTAAAGGGGGGGTCGTACTAATCGCCACAGCGAGCACCCAGGAATTTCTCAAAATTAAATTTGGAACAAGAACTCAAGATGCATAGGGAATCGAGGAAATTTTCAACATTATTAAATGAGAGTACAAAGAAACTTGCCGAACTCCCGGGGAATGGAGGAAGAAGGCGGCGTCTCTCATAACGCCACCTTCCTTTTCAGACCCCCCCCCCCCCCGGCCACTTCACTATCGTGCGAGTTAATTGGGATGCACGTGTGAAGCCTCGGCATGCCTCGCATCTCGATCGACCCGCGCCGATGAAACGCGAGAGCCGGTGAATTCGCCCTCGGAGGGGGGAGTCTCCGCAGGCCCACGCCAAACGATCGTTCCGCGGCGAATCGACTTCACGAAGTCTAAGAGAAAACCGGACGCTCTTTCCGTGCGTTGCCTCGTCCGACGACCTCGAAACTCTCCTCGATTTCCCCAGCGGTCATCGGGAGTTCCCGTTCCGCGTTTCATAAATGAAAAGACATTTTTTTTTTTTCTGTCGAGCGATCGGTACGAGCTCTCTCCGCCTTCCTTCAAATTGTAGCGTTTGGCAAGTTTTTCTCCGGGTATAAATCACACGCCCTCGAAACTCCAATCGATTTCACACTGCTGCGAGCTCGTGCATCGTATTTCATCCAGATCGCTCGACTCCTCGGCGTTGCAATTTTTATCTGGCGATATTAAAGACTCTTTGCAAGATTTTTAGGAATCTCTCAGATTCTGGAATCGCGTTCAACCTCTCGACGAAATCCAAAGCAGACTTAAAAAAAATATATATATATCGAATAGAAAGGAAAGCCATCGACGGAAGTCGGCAGGAGTCGGGTCTCGGGATGACCTCGCCTCGTCCGGTGCCCTTCGGCCGCGAGGTGAAAGGGCACCTCGCGAGCGGGGTCCATCCCATCTCAGACCCTTTCCTCATCTCATCTCCCGTCCGTCCCGATCGTCGGTCGAGCGAGAAACAGGTCCTCGCAGAAAAGTCATTTCCCCGACTTTGGTTTCCCGCGAGGATCGGTGCGTCCGGTTCAACGCATCGTCGCTTCCGAGCGGAAAGTCCTCGACGTCTTTGGCCATCGCGCGAAGGATTACGTTTCGACGCAGAATTACAGTCGGTATATGCAAGGAGGAAAGAGAAATACCATAAGAATGCATTTTTGCGATTTACTGGATTAGTTTTTTAATTAGTTTTCACCTCCCAATTAATTTTACTGCAAGAAAGAAAAGGCTTTAAATCATCGTCCCCTCGGAATTCCCACATCCTAGCATTTTTCTTTCCGCGACAAGCCGGAGAGGCTTTTTTTTATTTTAATAACCGGTTTCGGATTCCATTTCGATAAACAGTGGCAGACACCGAGCGAGATCCAGCAGGTCCTTCGATGGGATTTAAGAGCGACACGGACCAGGCCTCGAGAAATTCCGCTGCGGAAAATTCTTTTATCGGCCCCGACTGCAGGCGAAGGGATAAAATATTCCCGCAATGCGTTCTGCAATGAAACCGGCTCATCCTCCTTGCAAATTCAATATCGAGTTCTCGGGGGGGGGGAGTCGCTTGCATGGAAGGCCCGGAGATGAGGAGAGCGTCCATGTCCATTACTCAATCAATCACTGTCTTTCCCTCACTTTTTTTTTCCGCGAATGCGCGGTCGAAAGGAGAATATTGCATTCCTCTCCGAATGCTGCGATCGAGTTACGCCTGCGCTCGGTCGGTTTCGCATCGCGATGCCGAGAGATGCGGTCGCGAACGAACATTTTCAATTTTCGACGAAAACCTATAACCGAGGTTCCCCGCGTGAATATTGCATGCGCCCGGAGACGGGAAGACGGACCATCGATCGTTGTTGCAGACCCTGTTCGTCCTCCTGGCGCTGTCCCTGCTCGGGGTCGGAGCCGAGGCCGGGATCGGAGACGTCTTCAAGTTCACCAAGGGGTTCGTCGTGGGGTCGGCCATCTCCAAGGCCCTCAAGGGGAAGATCAAGCACGGCGCCTTCTCGCCCTTCCGCCGGCCCTTCGGATTCGGTGAGGGAAAAGAGCTCTGAGGGGGGTGGGGGTGGGAGGGGGGGGGGGGGGGGGGGGTCTACCACAACACATCAGCCACCTGTCTAGGGCAAATATAGAGCTAGTGCTAGCCTGGACAATACACTTTAGACTAAATTCACTTCCAGTCCCCAGCTTTTCTTGATTCTGGGGATTATTTCCTTCTTAGTGAAAGGAATGGATCAGGGAAGAAGTTTCAGAATGGGCTTCTGATATGCTGATAGGGAAACCTTACCAATGCCTGATGTGAATTTGGAATCTTCACCATAGGGCAGCTTGCTGGAATCTTCTTCTTTGATTCTTTCATCTTCTTCAGTCAGGATTTCAAAGCGCACACTCTCTGCTTCATTGTCAACACGCAAAAGTCGCTTTACCTCTTTCTCAATCTCAGGTGCATCCACCATCTGGACACATGATAGAAATGACACTCCTTAGGTTATTACCCTGCAACTACTATTGCATGGTTCAGCTGGACTCAAAATCTAAGTTTTTCTCATAGTAAATTCAAAGTGCAGGAAGATACAGATCTGCAAATTTATTTTTTCATGAAATTTTAAAGGTAAGTCCTTCTCATTTTACTATGTAGCCTTTAATCATAACAAAGCATTTTTATATCTTAACACTTTGGCTGCCATGCTTCAGATATCTTGTTTAGCGCTTTTCTGTTCAAATCCCACACCTGTCCTGACACAATGTTGGTTGCTGACATCACAGATTTCAGGCATTCCTGTTTTATATTTAAAAAATATGTTGAAATAGTTATAATAACATTAGAAGTGCAACCTCCTGTATACAACTCATTGAGTCGTGAAAGCTGTTACCCCTAAGGAGCAAAAGAAGGAACACATCACCATGTGGCCCTTCTCAAACTTTCCAATACAAGGCTTGTATAACTGAATGGGAAGAAATAAGATAAGTATCATTGTGCCTAAATGGTGACACCCTGTGATTTTCTTTAAACACACCTGATGTCTCCAGCCCTTTTCTTGGAAAATAAACAAAATCATTCAATAAGATTTCCAAGGTCACTAGTCCTGAGTTGCAAACCTAGTCATGACATCACCAGGCTCATAAGAAAAATGGGCTGAACTACATGAGTGTGTAATCTTATCATCACAGAAAGTGTGAATTTCTTCACAAAGGCTCTACTATGTTCTATGAAGTGAATAGAGACAATCTATTTTCTTTTCTGCAGTGTACCAGTGAAATGTACATGGTCTTCTAGATATCACTGCCAATAGGATCATGGTGTGGTGACAACAAAGATAGAAGAAAAAACCTAAACAATATTCAAGAATAACTGTAGGGTACAATACTTTTATTTGCACACACCAGTATCACTGTTACCATAACTTTTTGCATCAACTGGTTTCTAGTTAATGGTCAACTCATTTCACTTTATTCCTTATATGGGAGTTCAGAGGGCACTCCTCATAAAATGCTAGTTCAGTTCCAGTACAATCTCATGTTCAGTTAAATGAAACTGGAATGAGGACATTTTAAAGCTGATTAACCAGTTAACCAGGTTAACCAGGTGATTCAGTTAACCAGGGATAAACAGAAACAGAAACTTCAACTGGATGAAATGAAATCACTGAAATGGTACCTTTTTTCTTAAGGTCTTTCGGAACCTTCTGCGGCGAACATTCTTTAGAGGTGGAGTGAGTCCATGTGGCCATAGGAATTTCCTGTTTGGGTCTTTCTTCCCTTTTCCTTTGGGAGGTGAGTCTTCCTCTTCTGTTGTATCATCATCTTCTCTACAAATAAGCATCTGTAAAATTCAATTTCAAAAAGTTTTAATCATATTTAAAAAGAAAAGACAATTTGACTTCCATGAATGATATAATTATAGTACCTGACAGATGTCAGCAGTTTTGTAGAAATTCTTGCGATCAATTGATTTCAGAGACTCGGTGATAGTTGGCAAATCCATCCACTATCTCCCATGACTCTCAGTTGTCTTTAAGGACATTCCAAACATAATTGAGTCTGATTTGTGATTCCCACACAGTCATAGACCTGAATCCTGTGATCTAATTCAGGATTTATGTGACAAGAAGGCGGGCATGAAAAAAAAAAAAAAAAAAAAAAAAAAGGAGAGGGAGGTACAGTACTTCAAGAAGCAGGGCACCATATCAAGAAATCAGGATCAATTGTAACCAATACAGCCACTGCCACTGTCTGAACTAATAGCAAAAGAGGCACCCAAAAAAATATTTTCTAAGTTGCTGGGCACTTGGCACTTAGCATATACTGAAAGTGAATCAAAAAAGGGGGAGAAAAGAAAGAAATGGGGAAAAAAAATTCAACCAAGTAAGAGAATATATAACAAGACTAAAAGAAGGGAAGAGGTGAGGGAGCAAAATGCATCCCCAAACACAGAGAATTACTAAGAAATTCAGTGCACAAAAAGCAAGAAAGACACCAATATGGAGGAGACAATGGATTACAGAACATGGAATTGTGTTCTTCAATATTTGGGACCCCTCTACAAAGCCTGGGGTAAAAATCTTAATTTGGGTGATTGATGGCATATATTATTTATTGCTACTTGAGGAGCCTCACAATAATGAAGGTGGGAAATTTTCTTAATTTCCATTTTAATTGGTGGAATAAGTTGAGGAATTTTTTATATTAAAGCAGGGGAAAGCCCAAAACCAAAAATAGGATTGAGGTATGAAAATAAAGGAAGATTGTTTTACCTTGGCTGGAAGGACCCAGTTATCCAGTCTGACAATTCCATGTCTCATATCAGGTTCCAACTGAATGCTCAACTTGTCCTTGATATTAGTGGCTCCTGCCTGCAGTGCTTGCCGCAAACCCTTTGCAGGTTCCTGAAGGGGAAGAGTTTATAAACTTTTTATTAGGTCCTAGATGTTCAATGCCTTCCTATTCTTGTTCAACTATAGCATTTAATCAATTGAGCCAATGTCAAACTACTCACTGCACCACTCACCGTGACATAGATTTCCAAGCTCTCTAAACCTTTTGCTTTATTTTCATAAATCCTGAATTAGATCACAGGATTCAGGTCTATGACTGTGTGGGAATCACAAATCAGACTCAATTATGTTTGGAATGTCCTTAAAGACAACTGAGAGTCATGGGAGATAGTGGATGGATCTGTTGCAAGTTGAAGTTGTTTTAGTATGAATTTCTGATGTGAGGTTGGACTTCTTAAAGGATGGTGTATCAAGACTTGCTATCAATTTTTAAGTCTTGCTTACTGAATAGAAATGTAAATAATTTTACAAAAAATATTAGGTGGTCCACTGCCACATATATCACTAGTTATTTTTGCCTTTATATGGAGCAGAATATTCCAAACCTTCAATGAACCTGATAGATGGTCCAGACACCTGTGGACTATTTTGTCTGAGAAGACAAATTGAAAAAGAAGGAAAGCAGAAGCTATTTTTTAAATTTCTGTTTTGGCCTGATTTCATCCAGTGACCAAAAATAACAAGTATGAAGAGAAATGACAGGGCAAACTGGTTTGAATGAAGCTGAGTTATAACCTTATGCCTTTGCACAGCAGTATAGGTCCACTATGGCTAAAAACTTTGGTCTAAGCACAGGCATAGCAATGAAAGTTGGCTAGCCAATACATTAATACCAAGCCTAACATTAACCATAAGCCATTATGGTAACTTTACTTTCAATTCGTATCACTTTGGTGATTGCTCATGACGATTTCATGGAAATCCTGAATGTTCAATCCATGAAAATAATACTGACTCATGATAGAGGTGATTTGCCTTGAAGGTGAAGTCTCTCTAAAGAGCACAGAATACCAGGTAGCAAACAGATGGCACTAGGCCTAGGCATAAGCATACCTCTGGTAACCGGAGTATAAAGTGGCTTTCGAGCTCAGGGGCTGCGTCATCCTTTTTCTTCTGTGTGTTAGAGTCCTTCGCTACATTCATCTTCACCGATCGATTACTAATTTATCTGAGCTTATATATCTGGAAAAGGTGGTTCAGGTTTCTTCAAGACTTGCTGGCCAAAGGCAGTCTTCTTTGAAGGATAGAGATATATCAAGAAGTCATGAAACGTGATTCCAACGCTTGCACTCTATCCTGGCAAGCGCCATATACACAACCATGTGGAATGGCAGTGTTGGCAGAGGAGATCCCAGAGGAAATTCCTCCCGACGTGCGTATGAGCTCAGTATCGAGAAAGATCAATAGTTACATTTATTTATGACAGGTAGAGACGCAGTGCAAACTTAACTTAATGTACTAATCGAATGGTGACTCATGTGAGTAACGGCGCCAAGAGATTTAGCTTTCAGCGTCCGTGTGAAAACAATGGTAACTCACAGTGCCATGCGATATGATGGCCAGGCGCTCATTTAAAATATATGTTGCTTTCTGTATCCAGGATATTGTGCAGCTTATTCCTCTACAATGACGCACTAAACTCTCTTCTTTGCGTGTGTTGTTTCGTCATCCCTTTACTCAGCAATCCCATCTACTGTAAGTGCCTTGTTAATAGTTCTTCACATCCCCTCCCATTTGTTTGCTTTCTCATCTGCAGTGTAAATGTTTTGAAATTTATCGCATCAAATGAACAAAGAAAAATGCTTGAAAGGGTGACAAGATGCTATTTGATGTCAATAGACTTAGACATGTTTAAAGATTCTTGATTCACAAATGAAGCCTTAAAAGAAATCCCACTTAACCCTCTGACAAGCAATTGGGACATAGAGCACCCATGAACCAATTTTTTGTGTCAGTGATGATAAAACAAATGTGTAACTAGCCAGATCATGTTGAAATGCATTGCATCATATTTATTTCTGCTGCATACCAAGTCAATGCAGTGTAATTTATGTTGGGTTCTTTGATGCCACTTTTTTATATCATTAGAAAAATGTAGTGGACATTATTGGGTTAAGGGAACTGGAGATTTTATGGAGATAATTATTGACAGGCTTATGATGATGAAATTGATGCTGCATCAAATGAAAAGTTGTAGAACTTGAATATTAAAAAAACCTGTATTGACTCATTTTTTTTTTACATTGATCTGTCTTTGGATTTTATTGAATGGTGGAATACATGCAATTTATCATATCATAACACCTAGCTTGCAGTGAATTAGGATGGACTTCATACTTTTTCAGGCTGCATATGTATGGTTTTGCTTCATGCAGACTGAATGGATTATTTGACATTTACCTTTTAGACATAGGTCCATAAACAAGGCATATTAGCCTTCAATCTTGAATTTAAGGCTAAGCTTGGTCTTCATTTTTTTGTTTAATGAGTGACTCTCAGTCTCTAGTAGTTGTGATGATTCTGCAAGAGGTAAATGCTGGTCTGCAGGCTCAGATTCAGCTAGACTAATGTACGTTGCCAGTCAAGCAGACCTAGAATTAACCCTGCATTTGTTTAGCATATCCACTCATATCCAAATGGTATATCTGCACCACTTTTGTTAGAGGTTGGTGGGAGTCTGGGTCTCAGGGTGTCCACATAATGGACAATTTTGTTTGTATATCCAATTTTGTATCAGCATGAAGAACCCTCAAGGATTATGTATTATGTGTGGTCAGCACACTGACCAAAAAGCCTGGCTGGAATTAAACACTCAGCTTTTCTATAGATTTCCTGTTTGCTAAGGCTCAGTTAGAAACTAGTGGAAGAAGCAGTGTGTAGCACATGGACACAACCAATAGTGCTAGTCAGAATGACACCAAGGAGCTAGTGAAGTCACAGAAGAGCCAGGACAAATTGGTCATCAGCTCATATACTTTTACTCATCATTGATCAAATGCATCAGGTGACACTTCTTGGTGATGTGTAGATGAATTCAGATTTGCCAAGAACAGATAATCCCTTTGAGTTGGCTTAATGCATTTGAAGCAACTGTAGGAACATCATCATCTATACATTTACAAGATGGTGGAAGCACTACAAAAAGAGCAGGCAGAAACAGTAATACCCATTCACTGATTGCAGGCAGGAGATAGACCTCACCCCTCCAAGAATAAGTATGTGCTGTGCTTTCAGGTGATCAGTGGTCCCCTGAAGGCTATCATTGCTGACTATGGCAGTCAGGCAATTGAAGACTACCTATGTGCATTTGCTGTGAATCATTAGGACTTTTTTTTTATTGTTGGCACTCATTTGACATGTGTTTTTTATCTGTGTTCTTCATATTCCATGAAGAAATTTCAGAATTTAATTGGAAAAGAAATGTATGTTTTTTTTTTTGTGGATAATTTTACTAGGGGAGCCCTTTGTCAGTAGATGACATGTCAATGGAAGGTTCCATCAATTACTTTTGTCAGTTTTATTTCATCCTGGAATGGGATATTATGTTGGTGACCTGTGACTGATGGAGTGGTGAAAGCCCAGTGGTGTATTTTATGGGGGAAAGGGGAGACTTGCCTGTGCAAACAGTTTTTAAAATTAAATTTAGCTTGCAGTAGGGAAGACCTATGGATATTTATTTCAGATTGATGAAAATGTCTAGATTGACTTCTGTTTCTTCTCTGCTCCTTCCCTTAATGTATCATTTCCCCTTACTTCTTTGCTCAGTGCCCCATGGCCCACATCTGTATCAGCTTGTATGAGTACAAGGGGAGGAGGGGGGTAATAGAGTGGCATTGTCATTCAGGGATGTCCTGCATCAGGCAACTGAAAATGGTCCATATGCCAAATTGAGTTCAACTCAAGATGATGGTTTCATCATTCTTCTTCTCTCAAGAAAGCATTTAACCTGTGTCCCCAAGTGCTCGGCAATTACTTATCTTCATTCAATTGAGCTAACAAGCTCAGGAACTTATTTGCTCTGCTATACTCGTAGGACCTCTTGGGCTTGACTCAGTCTTGTCCCCCTACCTTGCAGCAGTCCAAATGTTTTCCCAACCCACTCCCTCAGTAGGTCTGTCCAAACTCAAAAGAGGAAGAAGATTGCCTCAAAGGAAAAGGGAGGGTCTGATTGGCAATCTGAGTTTAGCCAAAGGCCAAGGTCTTCACATCCACCTAGAAGTCAGTATCTCCATAGCCAATGTGGAAGAAAGCCTGATTCATATGGCCTTGTCAGGTGGCTGCCTTCAAATTTCATCCTCAGGTACCCTCCCCCATCTCAGCCATAGCCCATTACTCAGCTCAAGATAGTTGCTGCCTCTCATTAAAAGCAATCCTCTTTTTGCTTCATTAGTGATGGAACAAATAAACTCCTTTCATTACACTTCATCCAGCCCCATGAGGAAAGTAAAATTGAAATCCTCAAGCTTCTATATCCCCTCTAGAAAAGCTCAAAGGTATGTAGCCTGGACTGTATGCCCACCTTGTTTTTCTCCTTCATCTATGATCATCCCTCTCTGAGTGATGTTATCAGTGTCTGGAATGATTACATAGCTGAAAAGCTGATGTCAGTATCAAGAAGTGCATTTCTTTAGGATATCCGGATTTCATGTGGCCTCTTCACCCACATGAGCTGCACTCCAAAAAGAATGGAAAATACGAGGGATGATCCAAAAGTTTCTGCCCAGAGATATAAGGAAACGGTAAAAGAGGTCCGGGAACTCCAATGCGAGCTGACTTAGCACGGAGTATTCGCGGGAGTGTTGGTTAATGAGGGTTAGCTCGTCCATGCGCTTAACGTCATTAGGGGGATCGATAACGGGAACCTAGTAGGTTTTCTTCAATTCAACTCAATGGTCACAGCAGAACGGGAGAGAACCAACCCATGTTCCGTTAGCCTCAAATGAGACTCAAGTTATGGAATGACTTTATGGTCAAGTAGGGAATTTAGGAAACGCGTTAGGTGATGCAACCCCTGACTCTTGCGTGAATAGCTTTCGAAAAGGTTATAAGTAGAAACGAGTAAAACAAAAAATTTAGTCGTAAGTAACCAGACAGTGATCCAGGGTCGCCCAGAGGGGGGGGGGGGGGGGCAATTGGGGCAATCTGCCCCGGGCTCCACGAATCAAGGGGGCCCCCAAAGGGTCTCCAGTTTAGTTTTGCCCCGGGCCCCTGGAAACCTTTGGGCGGCCCTGCAGTGATCGACATGCTTCCGCCAAAAATAAATATCTAAGGCGGGATCGGCCTATCCTAAATGAGAGCTCGGCCTCAACTCGGGATGTCAATATGGATAGAATCACCTTTTCATGTCCCAACCTTAACATTCAATCTTGGCTATTCGCTATTCAAGGCTTTTCGGCTTTCAAGACACGTGGAGACTACTTAAGCTCTGCTTCTTTGCCTATCTTGCAAGTATTCTTGCTGGTCTTAATAAATGTCACTTGCATGTCATTGTTTTCTACCGCTTTGCTAAAGCTTTGACTGTAAATCACAGCATTTGAACATTTTGGCTTTCGAGATAAAGTCCTTCAATAGTTTAAAACCTATACGAGTTCACTATTTGTCCGAGTAGTATCAGTGTGCGGTCAAATGTCCCTGAGAGACTCCTTGGGAAGACTCACCTTCACGAGAAATTCCCTGTTGCCGTTAGGATACCCATTGGACTATGTGATATGTGTTTTATAGTGATCAATCCTTGTCGACTATACCAGTATACTGGGGGGGGGGGGGGGGAATTGCGTTCACAGTGTTGGCAAAACTTCCTCTTTCAGTGCTTTTTTTTTAAATAAACACTTTCGCTGCGAAGAGCGACTTTAGTCGCCCGCCATTCTATTACGTTCTGAAAATTCACGCAGCGAACGGGTTAAAACAAAGCCCTTGCCTCTATAAGCCCAAGCACTCTCGCCTGCTTGGAGGGACGTATCAAAGTTCACATTGCTTCTATTATTCCGGAAACGTGCCGTGCAGTCTTGGGCACCAGGTTATGTAATTTCCGGACACCTTCCATATCGCAATATCGTAAATCCTTTAAGACTGAATTGGAAAATAGAAGGAGAAAGCCGGGGGGGGGGGGGGGGGGGGGGGGGGGGTGGNGGGGGGGGGGGGGGGGGGGGGGGGGGGGGGGGGGCGCAGATGGTAGCTACACTCTGCTAGAGAGACCACATCTGCGAAGGGAACATCGATGTGTTTCCTGCTTTCCACTTGATCACGATCTCGATAAGTTTGTCGCTGAATGACCCCGTCATTTTCGTAGAAAAGGGCTGAGACGACGGTGTTTTTTAGGAAGGGGGTGAAGCCACCTTGGCGTGATGGTAACCTGCCCCATCGCTTCCGTGCCTACTATACAGGCTCGCATCTGCAGCTAGGGGAGGGTCACAGGATGACTCTAGGCCTAATGGCTCCCAAGTGTCATGCTGTGGGCGATAACTACGTTGTTGAAGTTTTGCTTCATCGGCCCTCATCTACGTTGGCCTAGTAGTTCGGGGAAGTGGCATACTGTGATGGAAACCACCATGTGCAGGCTTTCCTTCGTTACCGCATTGACTGCCATGCTACTGTGGAATGATGATAATGTGGTAGACCGTGTGGTGAAAGGCCACAGAGCCTGGCAGTCAATGTCTTAATCAGCCACATTTGCACACCAAGTAGTAGAAAAGGTA